TTGGAAAAGGAAATTAGATTTAGTCTATGTATTCTATATAACGCCAATGGATAGAACTAGAAACAATAGGTAGAAGTTATAGAAAGGCCAATATGAGGCAGGACTTTTAATAATTAGAGCAGTCCATACGTGGAATGGACTACCATATCAAATAACAATTTCCCTCCAACCGAAGTATTAAAGCATGTGACTGGATGGCCACATGTTAGGACTATTGTGAGCAGCTAGGTGGCATAGTAGATAAAGTGCTGGGCCTGGAGTCAGGAAGACCTGAGTTTAAATTCTGCTTCAGACACTTACTAGCTGTGCGACTCTGGGTAAATCACTTAACCCTGTTTGCCTCAGTTTCCTCATCTGTAAAATGAGCTGGAAAAAGAAACGGCAAGCCGTCTCTTTGCCAAGAAAACCACAAAAGGGGTCATGAAGAGTCAGACACAACTAAAAAACAAGTAAACAACAAGACTATCGTTCAGGAGAATCATGCTTGGAGGAGGAGACACTAAACAACCTCTACAATCCTCTCCAGATCTTACTCACAAAATTACAATCTCAGAATCAGAAGGGTATCCTCTATATAATATACTACACAAGTGGTCATTTAGACTCTGCTTAAGGACTTCTAATGAAGAGGAATCCATTATCTCCTAAAGCAGCTCATTCTACTTTTAGACAGCTTCAATTATCATGAAATTTCTCTTTGCATCAGGCCAAAATTTTATTTTTTGCACTTACTATGTTGAAAGCCTTGTGCTGAACCCTAAGGATACAAAGAAAAAAGCAAAACAGTTCCTGCTCCCAAAGAGCTCATATTCTAATAGGAGACAACACATCTAAGAGCTGTAAGTCAGATGGAAAGTCCCCATGATCCTTAGGGTGCAACTTAGGGTAGAGCAGCTGGTATAACATCTTCTTTAATGTTATGTCCACTGATAAAACCATATCACAACATCAAAAAATCTGGTGGTGACACTTTCTCTTTTCAGGGTCTTCCGTAGGTGTGGCTACTGAGGATACAAGGGCTCCAGCACCTACAGAAGCCGTTGCCATCAACCATCTATAAAGGCTGATTCTCTGGATGATGTTAGCAGGGGGCTAGGCTGGATGCAGGGCCAGTGGTCTAAGGCAGGGAAGGGAAAAGATGGCTATTCCTAGAGCTCTTGGACTCCGGTTTCTAGGCGCTCTCCATCAGGGTCTGAGGGGAGGAGGTGGTGAAGCAGTTTAACTTAGCAGGCACATGATGCCTCCCACCTCTCCCTCAGGATCACTTACTTCTTCAGATAAACTGGCTTGTCTGCCTCATTGGTCGCACATCAGCTGGGAGTGATGGCGAGCTCCTCCTCCACCTACTCCTCTGAAGACTAGCTGTAGGGACTGGGCTGAAAGCAGGGTTTCGCAGAAATAGCAGACATTCCAGCCTGTCAAGATCTTTTTGTAACCTGACTGTTCTCCAGCTTTGTCCCATCTACACATCTGATTAAGCATGCCTTCTATGCCTTCATCCAAGCCACTGATAAAAATTCAGTTGTTCTTCAGTCATTTTTCAATTGGATCAGACTCACAACCCCATTTAGGGTTTTCTAGGCAAAGATACTAGAGTGATTTGCCATTTCCTTCTCTCCAGCTCATTGCCCGGGCTCAACCAGTATGTGTCTAAGGCCAGATTTGAACTCGGAAAGATCAGTCTTCTTGACTCCAGGCCCAGCACTCTATCCACTGTGCCACCTGGCTGTTTAAAAATATTAAACATCAGGGCACTCCACTGGAGGCCTCGAGCTGATATAAAGTCATTAATGATTTCTATATGGGTACAGTCAATGAAATAGTTCCAAATCCACCAGTGTGCTATCATCTAGCACACATATCTCCATCTATTCCATAAGAATAGGATGCGAAATGTCAAGTGCTTTGTGTTAAAATCTAGATAATCTATGTCCACAACATTCCCCTGGTCTATCAGTCTAGTAACTCTATTTAAAAAGGAAATGAAATTATTCTGGCATGACCTGTTCTTGATGAATCCATCCATGTAAGCTCTGTGATCACTATTTCATTTGCTAAATGCTTACCAACCATCTCTTTAATAATATGCTCAAAAATTTTGTCTGGAATTGAAGTCTAGTTTTTTAGCTTAAAATTTTCACATCCTATTCTTTTCCCTAGCCCCCTATTTTTAAAATGAGATGATCTCTACCCTTCATTAATCTTGTGGTACTTCTTCTATTTTTCATAATCTTTTAAAGATCACTAACAATCACTAAGCAATCATATATATTAGCCAGTTTTCTTCATAAAGTTCATCTCAGCCTGGAGACTCCAACTTATCAAAAGAAGCTAGGTGATCTCACTTTCTTCCTACTTCTATTATATATCAACTCCTTATTAAAATTTTTTGCTGTCCTTTCCAGTTCAAGGATCATTCCTGCGTATAGAAAACAAACAAAACTAAGGTTAAACAGCTCTGTCTTCTCTGCGATCAGATAACACTATGCCATCTACCATGAGCTGCAATGTTCCTATCATTCTTTGATCTCCATATTTTTAAATGAACCAACACATTGTATTGGTACAGACAGTTCTCACTTTAGTGGACCATTCCACAGACCTCTACATAAAGCAATTGGGGAAGGCAGGGAGGAAGGCAGGAAAGGGACCTCAAGACCATGGAGGGAGGGGGGCCAGTATGTAGTTCAAGGACAAGTGGGGGCTGGGGACAGAGAAGCAAGGGCAGGAAGAAGAACATGACAAGGTTGGGGCCAGCCACATGGAAGCCTGGTTGAGAATGAGAGGAGGAACATGTGGGAGGAGGGGAGCTGAACACAGACACAGACAGGAGAAGACAGTTGACACATAGAAGTGGGGACCTGGTATAGCACAGACGGAGGGAAGACAGACACACTGAGGCTGGATACCTGGGTGGGTAGGCAGAGCAGGGCAAAGGTCTCCTGCCTTGGGGCCAGAGGTCTCAAGCCAAGCCCCAAGTCTGACTGGAGCAGAAGCAGCAGTGGTCTCTTAGAGTATCTGTTCTGCTTTCACTTGGACGTCTTTTTTTTGGAGGGGGGGAATCTGAGCCAACAGGCAGGAGTGGAGAGAGCACAGTGCTGTACAGTAAAGTTAACATTGGTATTTTTTTGGAATATGGATTTCTTTATGTAAAGTCAAACTTGCTGTACTCATCCTCTTGATTCATCCTCTTCTATTTACCCTTCTTTCCTTTTCCATACTTTAAAATTTAAGGTGGTTGATAAGTACATTTACAGAGATATGTGCTTAGCATAGTGACTGACACAAAGCAGATACTTAATAAATAGTAGATGACTGACTAGCAGATGTCTGTAAACACCTTTCCTTTTTCTTTCATGTTGGAATTGTTTCTATGGATTCAGAATTTCATCCTTCCCTTTCCTCCGGACTGGTTCCCCTATATAACTTTTAAGATGCCGCCTATCATTTGAAATCTGCTCTTGTGAAATCTAGAATACATGTTAGACTATGTCCTGCTTTCCTCTTCTCTACCACAAATTCTAAGGTACAACAAACACTCTACTCCAATATTCCCATTACTTCCTCCTTAAGAACCAGTTTCTTCCTCCTGGCTGGTAAAAAATCAGGGCTAGGATATCAAATCTCCTCAATGGTTTCTCCTCTGGAAGGATGCAATAATCACTGGGGCCAGTTGAGAAACAGTTAATGAGAGCAATTCTACCTATTTATGTCAGGATCTCTATACTATATTTTGTGCAACTGCATATAGATGAGGCAACTGATTTGATTATCTGTTATTTTCATGGATTTTGTTTGCTCTGCATTTCTTTGTTACTATTTTTCCTACATTACAGCTACTGTCTATGTTCTCTCTTTTCTACAATGTGGATGTTAGTGCTCTCTAGCTCTTCAAAATATCTTTTGTAGATATTTTTTGTAGATATTGTATTACCATCAGTAGGATGTTAAGTCCTACAGTAAAGGGGTCACTTCATTCTTGTCTCTGTAACCTCAGGGCTAATTATCAGCAAAATACTTTATGTAGAGTAGACACAAGGTTTGTTGAAGTAAACTGACTGAACATTTTTTAAAAATCTGTCAAAATTTAGAATGGGTATGTTTAGGCAGAGAACACTCTCTGCAGAGAACATCTAAACGTTTGGGCCCCTCAAATGAGACTTTATGAGACTAGTATTCAAAAAGATACATTCCCAGGAGAAGTAATGAGACTTTATTACATATACAACTCTAAGAGGGGAGAGTAGGCCAACTGTTTAAAGTACAAATAAGCAACTTTGTGGTTTCTTTCTTTTGTACACTCCCTCAGGAAATCAAAGGACACATTTTGTGTCTACCCCTACAACTCCTCCCATCATCAGCCAAAAATTTTTGAAGTGACAATTTATGATTTATAATTTTAATATATAATAACAATTTCCCATGATGGCTGTAAAGAACAGTCACCAGAGTTTAAATCCTAGATCATAATTTTGTCAGCTGAAGAGAAATATTTTACCTCATCTTTTTCACTAAACTTAGACATAATTTTTTTCATTTGTCCAGTTCAGCAACTATTCATTTCATTAGGTATCTACTGCATATAAAGCAGAGGCAGCGTCTAGAGCATGGGGCCTGGAGTCAGGAAGGCCTGAATTCAAATGTAGCCTCAGATATTTACTAGCTGGGTGACCCTGGGCAAGTCACTTAACCTCTGTTTTCTTTAATCCACTAGAAAAGGAACTGGCAAACTACTCCAGTATCTTTGCCAAGAAAACCACATGGTCAGCATTAGCATGCTATGGTCTACAGGATTGTGAAGAGTTGGACATGACTGAGAAACAATATATAAAGCACTATTCTATTACCTAAAGTTACAAAGATAAAAGCATAACTATCCCTGACCTCTAGGAATTTACATCCTAATAAAACATTATTTTCCCAGTTTCTTCCAAAAACCTAATAAAACAAATCTAATTAATCTATTAACAGTAAATCTTTATTTGAAATAAAATACTCACCTCACACTTATTCAGTATCTTCAAATGACCAATTTTGGCAATAATTAGTTGGCGAATAGTCTGAAGTTCTTTATTCCCTTCAGTCAGGGGATTCTGTGTACAGGACAAGGACTGTAAACTTTGTAACTTATCTAATTCATTGATAGATGACCACTGGAATTAAAGGAGAAAAAACAGAAATGGCTAGATTTTAAGCTGATTTGTAAACTCCCACCAAACAGTATCAATTACATTTTCAGAATACTCAGCTTTGTCATGTCTGAAACACCAACTACTCTCTGTTTAAAAGTCACATCTATTTTTATATATTTGTAGATATTATATATCTACAAATTAATGATCTAAATGGATATTGGCTCAGCAATTAACTGACTTCTTTCTTCTGACTTAACTCTATTTTTCTAGCATTATTTCATATTACTCCCTTTTACACATTCTACCTTCCAACCAAATTGGCTTACCAGCTGGACCACATACAACCAGGTAGGCCCCAGCCTGGAATGTATTCTTACTTAAGCTCCATTCAAACTCAGCTTAAGTACCATTTCCTAAATAAGGTCCTTCCTGCTCATCCCCAAAGCCCTCCAGGTGCTATTACTCCCCACCCACCAGGAAATTTGCTTTGTGTTCACTGCAGCTATATTTTATATTTAACAATCTGTGTATATAGTGTTTCCCCCAATAGAATGTCTTGAAGACAGGAGCTGTCTAATTTTTGTCTTTCTATCCCTAGTGTCTAGCACAGTGTCTGGTACGTGGTGTGAAATTAACTGCTTGTTGACCCACTGATTGACTATACTTAGCTTTAATTACAAAGAAGTCCCAGGAAAACAAATGATTTTACTTTGTAGGACTATTTATTACTATTACTAAAGGGAGCACAGTGTCTTTACATATTCACACAAGCCACCTGGGGATGAAAAACAGTCAACCAGGATGCTCTATGCACACACAAAGCAAACACACTCACTTGTGATATCTGATTGCCATTTATCACTAGGTACTGCAAGGAAGGAAACATTGAGGTTTTGCAGCCTATAAAAGGAGAATAAAGTTAATCATGGAGAAGTAGATGAATGGCTAAAATATAATGAAAGAATCATTGTGATAGTGTACCTATTCCAGCATCTGGAAAATGTAGAGAAGAAATTCTATTGTCAGAAAGGATTAACTGTTCTAACCTGAAATTGAGGAATATGAATGTGGTTAATATTATAGCAATAGAAGAATAGCACAAGTAAATTATCGGGCAAGAAAAGGATTTTTAATCATTTTAAATTGCAAAATAGCCATACTGTCTAGGTTCTGTACAGAACAGAAGAGATGTAACCTCCATCCTGAATTCCACAAACATTTATCTAATGCTTATTAGTGTATAAGGGCCTGGGTAGGGGTGGAGGTGGGGGCCAGGGAGAGGAGTGATGACATGAAATGATGAATAAAACATACTCGCACTCAAGTAGGATGCAATCTCTTTGAAGAACTTTGGAACTGATTGCATGACATGGGCACAGGACCACCCAGCATGGCATGCCCTCATCAGTGAAGGTGTTGTGCTCTATGAGCAAAGCAGAACTGAAGTAGCTCAAAAGAAACTTGAGATAAGAAAATTTAGAGAATCTGCCCGAAATGTTTACAGGGACTATTTGGGCCTGACCTATGGTAGAGCATTCTGAGTACATATTGGTTTGATCAGCCAATCAGACACACTAACTTGACTCTAACACAGTGATGTCATTGTGGTTCACTTCAAGAATGAAGGATAACAGCCAACCAACCAACCAACACAAGGAGAAGGGGTGAAGGTACAAATCTGACAGAGGTAACAGTGAACAGACAAGCACCGGCCCTGAAGTCAGGGGGACCTGAGCTCAAATCCGGCCTCAGACCAAACACTTAACACTTACAGCTGTGTGACCCTGGGCAAGTTACTTAACCCCAATTACCTGAAAAAAAAAAATAGTGTACAGATAGATATGGGCCATTATGGACAGAACCCAGTGACACTCTTCCTACAGTTGAACCAATTTTGTTGGGGTTTTTTGTTTGTATGGTTTTTTTTCCCTGATGGGACTACATTACAAGATGGGAGGGTACATGAAAGGATAAGAGATCAGCGGAAGGTGAATAAAAAAGAATGTGATCTGCTGTAGTCAAATCAAGGGCTGTCAATGAGAGAAAAGTGACTTCTATGGTCTCAGAAAGAGACCTACAGGGGAAATGGGTGAGGAAGAGAAAGGAAGAATTGAAAAAAGGAGCAAAGAAGGGAGGCCTAATTCTGGGAGTCAGAAGAAATTCCACTGATGAATACTCCTATGCTTGAAGATGGTCCCTGAAGGGAGATGGGGACCTAGCACTGGGTGTGGTCTGGGGTTTTGGTGACTGAAAAGTCTACTCATCCTACCTTGGGAAGGGGGGGGGGGTTGGAATCCCTGGGAGAGTAAAGACTCAGGGAGGAGAGATTTTGAGGCAAATAGGGGGAAAAGGTAATAAGGGAAGGGTATAGATCAGTGGTAAGCTATATAATCAAGGACATGATGGGGGAGGATCTTACCATGGGGCAGCATCCTCTCTGATACCTGCAATAATTGGCATCTTTGTGGGAGTGAGGTACAATGGAAAATAGAAATTCTTGGAGCAAAGTCTACAAAGCAGTGGCAGAAACTGCCTAGAGGGGAAACCCTAAAATCCATACTTTGTAAGCTTTGATTACATGAGGGTATACAGAGAAAAGAGGACCATATAATTATAGAGGTCACGAATCAGAGAATGAGGGTTAACAGTAGACAGAAGGAGGGAGTAGATAATGAAGAAAATGATAGGAATCTTTTTGGAAAAAAAAAATGGGGGCAACTAGGTGGCGCAGTGGATAGAGCACCAGTCCTGAATTCAGGAGGACCTGAGTTCAAATCTGACCTCAGACACATAACACTTACTAGCTGTGTGACCCTGGGCAAGTCACTTAACCTCACTGCCTAGCCAAAAAAAAAAAAAAAGAAATTTAAAAAACTAATGAACAGCACTAGTTAAAGGGAAGGAGAAGATGGGGGAATCTACTTGACTGAGAAGGAAAAAGAGGAGGAAGAATCATATAACTAGATAAAAAGCAGGAGAGAAAAAGAAACTGATATGCAAAATCCTACAGAGAAATGAGTAATGAGTAATGAACATGAATTGGGGATCAGGGTGAGAGAAAGAGATCCAGTGGAAACAGGGCCACCTTAAAAATAACTAAATATTGTGTTTTCAGTAGAATTCACTGGATACATAGTAAATTGTCTTTTTTCCATCCCCTCAGTTTTATTTTGTATATGTCTTTGTTTTTTAAATGTGTTGCATGGAAGCAATAGATTGTCAGGTTTTGTTTTCTTATCCACTTGACTTTCTTATCCTCTTTTTCATTTTATCAGATTTCATATAAACATATACCCCTTTCTATATAAGCTCCTTGAGGTCAGGGGCTCTTTTTTGTGTTTTTGCCTTTCTTTGTATCCTGAGTGCTTAGCACAACATAGTAAGCACTCAGGAGAGTGTGGTCTTCCAGATGTTTTTGTTTGTGGATCGTGGATGGCATGGTGCTAATTATACCAATGAAAGAAATTATTATTGAATTAGGACCAAAGTTTTTCCCTCTACTTGCTCATTCAGAAATCAGCCCCTGTAGGTTATACAGATAGCTTTTGATGTTCAGGGCTGATAACGAGAGGAAAAACTTTTAGATGAATTAATGGATTCCAGTCCAGTATTTTACTCAGATGGGTCTGGGAAAAAGTGGATTCTCCCAGGTGGTGAGATATGGGTATAGTTAAATCTCTTTGATCAAGAATGAGTGATCAGAATGATGTCTCCTAGATCCTTATTAGAATAAGCCCAACTCTCAATATAATATCCATTGTTTTCATTAATTGTTAACCAATTAGAGTTGATTGTCACCCTCA